GGACACACACACACACACACACACACACACACACACACGCACACACACACACACACACACAACTCACAGAATGTGACATCAGTCGACACCGCACGGTTCACCCCATAGTTCTCCCCACTGCCGTCAAACTGATTGAGGGTACATGTTGACGGACACACACACACACACACACACACACACACACACACACACACACACACACACACACACAACTCACAGAATGTGACATCAGTCGACACCGCACGGTTCACCCCATAGTTCTCCCCACTGCCGTCAAACTGATTGAGGGTACATGTTGACGGACACACACACACACACACACACACACAACTCACAGACACACACACACAACTCACAGAATGTGACATTCGGCGACACCTCACGGTTCACCCCATACTTCTCCCCACTGCCGTCAAACTGAGGGTACATGTTGACGGACAGCCTGTGATTCCCCGGCCCCAGCTCCGAGGCCTGGAGGGTGAAGGTACAGGAGGGGCCGCTCACACTGCCTGCTGTGTCTGTGCCGTTGCTGGGTGGGACGGACGTCTGGACACGTGACCCCTGGCACACAGACAGACACATGTCACATGGTTAGACACACAGACGGACACACAGACGGACACACACACAGACACATAGACAGACACACAGACAGATACACAGACAGACACACAGACGGACACACAGACGGACACACAGACAGACACACAGACAGACACACACAGACAGACACACACAGACAGATACACAGACAGACACACAGACGGACACACAGACAGACACACAGACAGACACAGACGGACACACAAACAGACTCACAGACGGACACACAGACAGACACACAGACAGACACACAGACAGACACACAGACAGAACAAAGGTCACATCGTGAGACACACAGACAGACACACAGACAAACACACAGACAGACAGAGGTCAAGATGTCACATCGTGAGACACACAGACAGACACACAAACAGAACAAAGGTCACATGGTTAGACACACAGACAGACACACAGACAGACACACAGACGGACACACAGACGGACACACAGACAGACACAGACAGACACACAGACGGACACACAGACAGACACACAGACAGATTCTAACTTCAAGTTCAAGGCAAATATTTTCAAAACAAATTGGAATCTTTTCGAGGGTTTTTCAATGTTTACCAAGAAGAAGAGAATTTTTAAAGAGTAAATAGACCAGTTTTTGTTTAGTTTCAGTAACAGTTTTACGGCACTCGCAACACAATAAGGTCATATAAGTGTCGAAGAATAGATTACGTGTTACAAGAGAGTAACAAACACAAAAAAGAAGGAGGGGAGATAAGGACAACGATAGATGTTTGATAGGAAAGAAGAAGCAAACCACACCAGAGCACCCGCCCAACCACCCACAGACCAGTTAGACTTAGCCCAGTTTTGGGAAAGAGAGAGTTGGATGTGTGGCTGATCTCGTGATTGTCCTTCGACGTTTCCCAGATTTGTCGAGGTTCTGGCTTCACTGAGGGCAGCACATCAAACGTCCAGCTTGGATCAAACGTCCAGCTTGGATCAAACGTCCAGCTTGGATCAAACGTCCAGCTTGGACACCTCAATCCTTCATGACTTTCAGAATTTCATGTTATGGTGGTAACATTTGAAAACAACAGTAACTACTTTTGGACAGAATTATGCCAAAATCAGCAGAAGTTGTGATTAGTTCATTCCTTTCTTCCACGGAGCATTACAACATTAATACTGTGAACGCAGCGAAGACGATCAACTCAGAATACTCTCAGACATCTGTCAGAAGTCAACCCAGAATACTCTCAGACATCTGTCA